TTTTGGTTACTGTTTGCTTGAAATATCTTTTTCTGTCCTTTTACTTTCAATCTATTTGTGTCTTTAGATCTAAAGTAAGTCTTTTGTAGACAGTATTTAGTTGGATCAGGTTTTCTGTTTTTTTTTTGTTTGTTTGTTTGTTTGTTTTTGTTCTTTTTTGTTGTTGTTGTTATTGTTTTTTAAGATGGGGGTTTCACCATGTTGGCCAGGCTGGTCTTGAACTCCTGACCTCAGGTGATCCACCCACCTCGGCCTCCCAAAGTGCTAGGATTACAGGCTTGAGCCACCGAGCCCAGCCAGGTTTTCTGTTTATCCATTCTGCCAATCTCTATCTTTTGAATGGATCACTTAATTAACATTTACAGTAATTACTGATGAGACGGGACTAAATTCTGTCATTTTGTTATTTGTTTTCTAGATGCCTTAGAGTTGTATTGTTCATCATTTTTTTGCATTACTATTTTCTTTTGCGTTAGTTGATTTTTCCATAGTGAAACATTTAAATTCCTTTCCCATTTTGTTTGGTGTATATACTACAACTACAGTAGTCCTTCCTTTATCCCCCCAGGATATGTTCCAAGACCCCCAGTAGATGCTGGAAACCAGGGGTAGTACTGAATACTATATATACTATGAAAATTTTTTTTCCTTCAGAATTTCATGGATAGAAGATTCATTCTTACTATAGATCTTAGCAATATAAGCATATGATTCTTCTTCCTTGTTGAGAATTTTCACCTTTTCACTTAAAGAAAGCACTTTACTGCTTTTTTTTGGCCTCTCCAAATTGCCAGCATCACTACTCTTACATTTTGGGGTCATTATTAAGTAAAATAAAGATTACTTGAACACAGGCGCTGTGACAACACAGCAGTCAATTAGATAACTGAGATGGCTACCAAGTGACTGACAGGCAGGTAGTGGATACGGTGTGGATACACTGGACGAAGAAATGATTCATGTCCCAGGCAGGATGGGGCAGGACAGCACGAGATTTCATCATATTACTCAGAATGGCATGCAATTTAAAACTTATGAATTGTTTATTTCTGGAATTTTCCATTTAATATTTTCAGACTGTGGTCGACTGTGGGTAACTGAAACTACAGAAAGTGAAACCACAGATAAGGGGGGACTACTGTATTTTCTTTGTGGTTACCATGGGAATTACATTTAACATCCTAAAGTTAAAACACTCTAATTTATAGCAGCTTAACTTCAAAAACATACAAAAATTCTGCTCCTTTACAGCTGCATCTGCATCCCTTTTATCAGTGTCACATAATTATGTCTTTATACATTGCGTGCCCAAAAATATAAACTAATAATTATTTTAAATGTGTTAGTCTTTTAAATTATGTAGAAAACAAATGTGGAGTTACAATCCAAAGTTATATATTAATTTTAGCTTTTTGACTAATAATTATTTTTTAAAGTAGTCCCTTAAGTTATGTCACAAAGTGGAGTTACAAACCACTGTTTCAATAATACTGACTCTTATAATTGCCTTTATTGAGATCTTCATTTCTTCATATGGTTTCAAGTCACTGTCTAGTGATCTTTATTTCACTTTGCGGGATCCTTTGGAGCATTTCTTACAGTCTAGTAGTAGTGAATTCCCTCAGTTTTTGTTTATTTGGCAGTGTCTTCCTTTCTCCATCACTTTTGAAGGACAGTTTTTCCAGATATAGAATTCTTATTTTTTTTTTCCTTTTAACATTTTGAATATATTTGTCCTCTGCCTCTGATCTTTAAAATTTCTGATGAGAAATCTGCTGATAATCTCATTAAGGATTCCTCTAGCTAGATGCAGTGGCTCACACCTGAAATCTATCTACCATTGATAGATTGATAGGCGTTTTGGTTGGTTCCAGGTCTTTGCTGTTGTAAACAGTGCCACAATGAACATACGTGTGCA